ACTTTTAATCAACAGCATAATGAAATATAATTGTTTGTGATATTCCGGAGTATTCTAGATATTCCTCTATGATGTGTAGCATAATCTAGGAGCTACGTAAATTCTCCTTAACCTGCGTTTTCCGGATATAAAAGGTAACTTTATAATTTGATGTGCTTTTTATTAGAGATGTCTCTAGGAATTGAAGTTTATGTGTTCCTATTTAAAGTTATTATCAATTGAAATCATAGCCAATATAACACTGCAGATCTGTCCATCGCCTTTACTTGATTAACACAGCCAATAATTTGTTGCAACACCTTGTAGCCGAAGCCCGAATGTGAAATTTTGTGGAAGGCAGGAGGTTTGTAAAATGTCGTGGACTTGGACATCAATCTCTTCCCAAAATGATTAAAAGCCACAGTAATTTGCATCTTTTTATCAATTGAAGAACTGTCACTCGCACCAAAAAGCATCACTTGGTTATGTTCATAGCTATTCGAAATGGTAACATCAGTGGATCCCTCCACAGCATCAACAATCCCGTCATAACAACTCCACATTGGCACATGATCCACCAATATAGTCGATCAACCAAGTATCGAAATACCATCTCCATTGCTCTGTGTCCGTTGTCCAATGTGGTCCACCGCGTCTCTGATCATCCCACCATTGCCTACCACAATGTTGTGAATGCGCAGTCCGTGAACGATCACGTTTTTCACCATTGCCTATCACAATGTCGTGAATGCGCAGACCGTGGAAGTCACGTTATTCATGTAAGAATAATACCTGTCCAGACTTAAAATAATTTACGATTTCGCTTGGTATTAGCTGATTTAAGAAGGCTCTGTTTTTTTTTTAAAAATAAACAAATAGTTTAGATAGAAATGTTGAAATTGATATTTAGTTAATTGATAATAAGGCACTTTTCGATTAAAATGACCAAAATGTCCCTAAAACGGTTAAATTGATAATAAGGCACTTTGCATGAAAAAAAATAAATTTGCTTAGCAAATGCACGAGTAACATTAATCGGGTCGGGCATTCATCTGCTTCCTGGGCTTTCCTCCTCCACACCTCATCATCAATCCCTTCCATGACATGATAACTTCTCTTTGTGAAAATTGAGTAATATGATTGTTCGTGACAAAATCATGCCTATGGCTGGTGAGGAAGCTGTTGTCACATTTGGCGGCATTGCCATACTTACTTCAAGGTTGATTAAGCGCTTTTCATGTTGTTATCTGTTTTTTTGCTTCAGAGTGATTGACAATGTGGGCATATGCTGCAGGGGTCTTTACAATGTTGAGCTTCATCTCTCATTCTTGCGCTTGCATGGGCAAGCCAATGACTTTAAAATTCAGTACAGCAGCTTAGTCCATACTTTTTTGTTGCCAAGGTTGTTCCCCATTTAGCACCTTTATCTATGTTTTAGTTATGCCTACCCTTTTGAAAACGTCTTCATTGAACTTTTAAGCTATTTAAAATTGAAACTGACTTCTCTGCTTTTGCAGAATAATCAACCACACACTTTAGTAGTTATCATCCTTCGATTAGGAAAGGCCAAACTTTGTATCCCCGCATTGTATTTGCAGGTATTGATTGATGACGTACATTCTATTTTTGGTATTTACCTGCTGCTTTTTTGTCTTACCAGTTTGAGGACAACGTGATAGACCTTTTGCTGGCTTTAAGTGAAGGTCTTTTAACTATGAAATACAAGGAGAGCCTGTTAACGAGTTACAAGGTAATTAGTTTTTTTTTTGCATTTATAGTCATTTGGATTTACATCAACGGTGAAAAAAGAAATGCAAGCTTATTCACGTGTTCAGTGTTGTTTACTTATTAGCTTTTAATATGATTTGTGAACCAGGGTTTTATCCATGACATCTTTACTCAAATTTTACGTGGCTTGTCTGGTTCCGAAGTCACTAAACCAGGGATGTTCCGAAGCAGTCAATATGCGGTGGAGTCCTCACTGCAGGCTGAAAATGGACTCATGTATCCTGCTTATACTGCATGAGGAGGTATATTCACGTTGCTGTAAAGCTCAAAATCTTGTGAGTATCATCTTCATTCTTGAAAATCTGACCTATTTCATTATGCAATTAGATTGATTATGTGGAGTTTGAGAGGCACGCTGTGGGCACGGCCAACATGCATTACTTTGATCTTCTTGTCAGACTGAAAACTGAACAAGAACATTTTTTCCGGAGCATCCAGAGAAATGAGTGCCACAATTTTTTTATTTCATCAGGTTTGCTTTACTTTTAAGCCTTCTTCACTCTCAATTTGGGTTTAACAAGTCTGCTTAGTCTTTCTGACACAATCATTGAGTAATGCAGTGGAAAGGGTCTGAAAATAATGAAGCTTGGGCTACAGAAGGTGTTCCTGTTTTTCCCGATGATGACGATGATGCTGTTGATCCACATCTTGAGCGTATTAAGAATGAAGCAGGTGGGGATGACAGTGATGAAGAGGTAACCATGCCTATTTGTAATTTCATCGTCTTCAACTCCATGGTCGTCTTTCTCTAAGTCATCCTCTGAGTGTCTTGTTGGATTCTAGTATCTTTGCTTACCCTTTGTGTTGTCGGAAGTTCTTGAAATGCCATCTGACATTCATAACCTTTTCAGGATGAAGATTTTGTCCTCAATAAGGATGATGGAGGGTCTCCTACTGACGATTCTGGAGGGGATGAATCTGATGCCAGTGGTAGTGGTGGTTAGGAGGAGGTATAACTGCCCTTTCATGTTTATATATTTTCAAGCTCTAGTTTACAAATTGAAAAATTATGAGCTGCCAATCATGTATGGTGGCTTCAGAAATCTGCAAAGAAGAAGCCAAAAAAGGAGGCTACTGTGTCAAAGCCATCTACAAGCAGGAAAAAGGCCGATGGTGATGCATCGAAGAAGAAAAAACAGAAAAAGAAGAGGGATCCAAATCCTCCGAAGAAGGCAATTAGTGCTTTCATGTACTTCTTGCAGAGTAAAAGGGAGGTATGTATTCTGTTACATGATTTCCTTCTTAGTAAACCAATGACTTCTCCTGCGTTCTGTGGTCTGAATATAATGTTCATTTTGAAGGAAACAAAGTCTTCTTTCCTAATCAGAAGAATAAAACTAAGTAGCCAATGCAGCATATCTAAGTCTAGCTTTCCTCATATGAATGTATTTGGAGTCCGGGCTACCAAAAGTCCAAAACCACTAATCCATGCATCATCATGTTATTAACAAAAAGAAAATTTAGTCCATCATCAAGCTGATAAAATCGTACTCTTAACTTAAAAGTTCTAGAGCCCATAATCCCATTCTAGTATCCCTTTATTTATAAATCTAGAAATAATTGAGTTCCTTGAACCGGTACCTTTCATGGGCATTTCATCTAAACGAAGGCATTCTGGGTAGTAAATTTACAAAGACTGAAAGGCATGGATGGATAAGAACCAAGATAGACATAGCCTTCCGTTCTACAAGTGAAAGGGGATTGTTCCTAGTGCAGGGTTGACTGAGAGACTTAGTGGCCTTACAGAGTAGATTGCTTGGAGGTGGAAGAGAAAATAGGGACCACATAGGTGATTAATAAGATGGGTGGTCTCCTTGTGATGCTTGGGCAATCCCTCCTCCCTTTGAGCTTAGGTGTCAGTTTGGCCGAAGACCTAAATTTAACAAAGTTTATTATAATTAGTCTGGTTTGTTGGAAATTACAACCACATGCTGTTACTGTATTAACCAGCTTCTTTTTGAGTTGGTGTGTTTTTTTTGCTTTGAGTTACCTTTTGAGTCTCATCATGGTTGTGATGTTCCATTCACTTCCCTTCCCTTTATTTTTGTAGAATGTGAAGAAAAGTAATTCTGGAATCGCCTTCTATGAAGTTGGGAGGATTATTGGAGAGAGATGGAATAAGCTGTCAGTTTGGTTATTTTTGTGGCATTCTGTTATTTATCTTATTTGTTTCATTATTTTATATTTAAGGGTGGTTGGTACAATGCTCGTCATGTTTGTTACAGTTTATTACTCCCTCCGTCCACTTTTAATTGTCATGTTGCGTTTTTTTATAGTCAATTTGACTAATTTTCAAAGTTGGTACTATAAATTGCAATTTTTTGCATATCAATATTTCATCATAAAATGTTAGTCAAAGTTCTTATAGTTTGACTCTAAAAAAGGAAACCATGACAATTAAAAATGGACGGAGGTAATATGTGTTTTTTTTTCTTTAGTCATCTTATATCTAAGAGCAGTTGATACATTTATTGCCTCACTTGCTGGATTAATGATTTTGCAGCTGAGGAGAAAAAACCCTTTGAGGCCATGGCCAAGGCAGATAAGAAGCGCTACAGCGAACAGATCAGTGATTACAGGAACCTTCAGCCGACTGCCATGGATTCAGGGAGTGAATCTGGGTGTTTTTAAGTGCAAAATCATTCAGATGGAGTGTGGGAACTTAGAAGGTCCACGTGCCTAATCAGCAATTGTTGTTCGTAGCTGAAAGTCCTTGCTGCTAACGTTTATGTGAAGCTCAAGTTTTGGGGCAGATGAGAAAATAGGTTTCTTGAGGTACTTTTAGTCAACAGCATAACTAATATAATTGTTCCTGACATTCTGGAGTATTTCTAAATATCCCTCAGCATAGTCTAGGAGCTACGTAAATTCTCCTTAACCTGTGTTTTCACTTTTCAGGATATAAAAAGTTTAGTTTTATAATTTGGTGTGCTTTTTACCAGGGGTGTATCTAGGATTTGTGTTTCGGAAGAAATGGAGAGGCTAACAACAATTGTTTAACTGTTATAAGCCATATAACAATTAGTAAGCAATATACAATCTTTTTACATTTTTGTACCATTAGCAGGTTGATAATTGCGAATCAACAAAGTTATAGTTTTTTTTATCATTACTTTACAGATGAAGATAGTAATTGCTTTCAACTAGCTCTCCCTAGAATCCCTCCCCCCTTTTAAAGCAGATGCTAGTTTTAGGGAAAAACGAGTAATATCCATCCCAGATAGAAGAAAATATAAAATAACATTGACACAGTTGTATAGCTTGGTATGAATTTGCATCTTTTTGATTTCATTGTTCTTTTGTAGTCCTTAACAATTCAAAATTACAAAGAATTTTGATACAATAAATGCATACAAAGTTAGTTTAAGGATATATGATGAGAATGAGTTTGCTTTGGTGATAATATGTATAGGACAATAACTGTCTAACAAGCTTCTCCTGGCTTGCAATTTAGTGCCCCTGAAAATCTTGTAATCCAAGTGACTTGATCCCCTGAGGCTGATACAATCCCATCAAAAAGCTCAGTGTGTTTCTTGGTCCAATCTGGATCTCCAGATTCAACAAAGAATGCTCCATTCATGAATAGATCACCTTGTGATCTCCATGACCATTGTTTCCACACTGATTCTGGGGAATAGTCCCTCTTTGTTACCTCTTTCTTGAACATGTCAGGAGGAGCAATGAAACGATTACCTTGACTAATAATAGTGGGATGTTGGCTACCACCAATAGCATACATATTCCAATGTGTGTAGTCATTGTTAACCACATGAATAAAACCCCATCTGCACCTTGGCATTCTCTGTATCAATCTCTTCCCAAAATGATTATAAGCCACAGTAATTTGCATCCTTTGATCAATTGAAGAACTGTCACTTGCACCAAAAAGCATCACCTCATTATGATCAGTGAAATGGCTATTCGATATGGTAACAGCAGTGGATCCCTCCACAGCATCAACAAGCCCATCATAACAACTCCACATTGACACATGATCCACCCATATATTCGACGAACCAAATATAGAAATACCATCTCCGTCGCTCTGTGTCCGTTGTCCAATGTGGTCCATCGCGTCTCTGATCATTCCACCACTGCCCACCACAATATCGTGAATTCGGAGACCGTGGATAATCACGTTCTTCACGTACTGGAGCATGAAACCTGTCCAGACACAATATAAATATAAGATTTCACGTTTTTATTTTATAAATATTTAATTGCAAACTCAATAAATACCTGCTCCATTAGCAATGTGAACGTTAACTCCGCGGCCATCAATGGTCTTATCGCTTTGCACTATGAGTTCCTGGTGTAGCCTAATGGTCATGCTTTTAGCAAATATGATCCATAATGGCTCCTTTTGAATGACACCATAACGGAGGGTTCCCGGCTTAGGGTCGCTAGTGTCGTCGGAAGAATCCGTGACGACGTAGATCTCGCCGGCTTTTCCGCCGGTGGTCCCTTTTGCAAATCCCATTGCACAATCAGCTAATCTTTTCCGATTGTCGGCCCAATTAGGTTGGCATCTCCAGCACCTATCAATTGGGTTGGTGACTAAGCAAGGCCCATTGTATTTTTTCCCGCCTCCTTTTAACTCCCTCCTTGTTCCATTTATTGCCAGCTTCGCTTCCTTTATTTCCTTTAAGGCCCTGTTTTATAGTGTTTTAAATTAGAAAGGTCACCCATTAAAGTCAAGAAATTAAATTGTTAGCCAGTTTTAGTGAGCGTTTGATTGTGATTTTTTTGTAAAATATAGCTTTAAAGTTGAAGTTGTTCTTGAATTTTTCTTAGTAGTTTGAAGTGAAAATAGCTTTATGTTGTTTTTCAAATACTTTTTCAAGTTCAATTATCTAAAAAGTGACTGTATTCATGGCCAAACACCTTGGCGCTAATCCTAAGAAAATAATGAAAGCGTTTGAAGTGCGAGAAGCAAGCGTTCTCAATCTTTTAATATTAAATAAGATGATAAAATATAGATGAAAGAAAAAATGTTTTTACTCTCAATGGATAACTGAAGATATATTTGTAAAATTTAGGGGAAAGAAAGTTGTTGAAAAAAAAAACAGTAAAAAATTGAAGCACAGACCAAAAATATCTTTTATGTGTAAATGTCACCTAATTAAATACTATAATTGCGAGGCTTACAAGGATCAAAAACATTTAAAAAAGAGAAAATAGATTGGGAGGAAATTAATTAACGTACTGTCCAGTTTGCTTAGCAAATGCAAGGGTGACATTGATCGGGTCGGGCTTGTAAGCCTTTATGGCCCATTCATCTGCTTCCTGGGCTCTCCTCCTCCACACCTCATCAAACTCACCAATGTGACCATTTATTGCCAAAAATGTGGAAAATAGTAACAGAGACAAATATACCAGCTTAGTTCCTCTCATTTAAAGATTTATGATAATTTAACTAGTTTAAGTTTGTTTGTTTTTTTCTAAAAAAATGAAAGAAGGTCTTAATTGGGTCAAACCCTTTGGCTTTTTAGAGGTGAGACCCTCTTTGTTGTAGCCTAAAAAAGCAACAACGTAAAGAGATGTGTTTTTTGTTGATGGAAAAATGTAGTTTAAATACTAAATAAATGCTAATTGACAAATAGCGTAAAATGCGCATAGCCATTATCTTTCAAAGGCAAATAACTTATACAAGTGAATGGTTGGTTAATTAAAAACTTAAGGTCCAAAAATGCCCGAAGATTAATTCTTCCTCTAAATACATTAATTAGTTGGTTGATAGTCTTTATATACGTATAAATCATGCATTAGACGTAGATGAAAAACTATATATATATATAAGGTCTTAAAAATGAAGAAGGGGATAAGGATATAGTTAGGGCATTTCAAGAGTTGTAGAAATTTTGAGAATTTTATTGAAGGTGCATAAATATTGCGGAGGTTACATACTTACTATTCTAGACAATCATATTTGATTTGCTGACAACAACTTTGGAGAAATCAAACTTTCTGTATAAACAAAACCATCTTGAATGCTACTTGCATGTATATAATGATCACAATGAAGAGGCCATATTCGATTGTTTGATTCAAGTGATACATTATGCGTCCTATATACCATTCCATCCCAACAGAAGTAGCTAAGTAGAACTTCATCATCTGAAAACCTATATATTGGTATGATAACATAATCTCGAACAATCTTATAACTAATTGGTATTGTGAACCATTTTGTCCAAGATTCTTTGACACCATAGTCTTTCAGTACCCATATATCAAAATTTTCATGCTTATGATAAAGAGAAAGTTTTCCTCCCAACACTGATACACCCATTTCAATGAGTCTACCCACTTCAACAAGTCTAGGGGAGGACAGAATCCCTGGCAACGGTATCTCTCCATACATCTCATTTGAGATATTAAATGAAACCACGGAATCCCTTGGGAAATGACCGATCCAGTGAAATGCTCCATGTAGAAATGCCAAACATAATTCCCTATCAGGTATTTTAGTGAAACTCATCCTATCTGAGGTTTCTTCAATTTGTCTCCAGGAACCACTTTTAAGTGCTAGAATTTCATCGGGTACTTTGTCATGCGTGTGAATCCTAAGGATCTTATAGTCATCACTAGTAGCGTCATATCCCAATCCATAAACATATTCCTCTTGTGGTGGAATTTCTACATGGCTTGGAAGTATTATTGACTCTCTTGTGGAGGGGTTCCATAACAATAATATGGATGGCTCTACTTCTTCATCATTCCAATAAATCCAAAACCCGATAAAAAATAAACCATCACAACAACAATAGACTCTACCATCAATAGGTTTACGGCTTGACGGGTAATCAAGTCGGCGTATATCCTCAACAAGTTTAGACGACGACGATAAAGAAGAAGAATACAAGTTAAAACCATTACTGTACTTACCGTGCGGCACTTGGGTAATAAGCAGTTTTTGGGAATTTTGATTCTTGGCATGAGTATTGAGATGTTTCTTTATAAAGTAAGGTTCAGATATTAATGTATTCCAAGACTTTGAAACACACTTGAACCGAAGAAGAGACTTCACGGATTGCCTGCTAAGGATGCCTATAATTATTTCTTCGTGACTTCCCATAAGTACAAATTGATTTAGGGTACAGAAGAAGAAAAAAACGAAGATGGAAAAAGAAAGCGCAAATAGAGAACAATTTATAGATTTGAGAAGGCCAACAAATTAAAATGTTACATTCCTTGTAGATATAAAATTTGATTCCCAATAGGAGACTCGAATCGTAAGCAAACCTCACTTCCAACCTGAAGGTTATGAATTCGAGTCACCCAAAAAAATTCACAATAGGATTCCGCCTTCTACAAGGACTGCTCACCATAAACCCTTGTGCTGTTTATGATAGTAGTTTAATAGAAAAACAAATTTTATTTCAAGTTCATTGATTCGCCCCTACCCCAATGTTCTTAACCCTCACCACTTGATCGCTCCCCATCCACCCACGTCACATTATATTTTCTAAATTACATAACAATATTTTTTTTACTTAGTTTATCAAACACTAGAAAATAAAGTAAGAAAATCACTTATTTTTCAAAAAAACAAACAAACATATTTTCTTTAAACGCTTTTCTTTTTTCAAAAAAAGTTAGCATTTGATTATTAAGCGCTTTTCTTTTTTCAAACGAATCCACTAACTTTTATTTAATTCTTATTATTAAATTCATAAAAATATTTAATTGCGAGCCCAATAATTATGATGACTATAATAAATTCAAGGGAAATTTAAAATACATAATCTTCACAATTGGACTCCGTCTCCAACTAGGACGACTATTTGTGTTGCAATTTGTAAGGGTCTTGTACGGTAAGATGTGCAAGTCTTCTTTTTACACCATATCAAACACTTAATAATCAATTGTATACTAAGAAGGCTTGATTAAATCCATTGATTAAGAAAGCTTCTTTAACAAGCGAAAACCATTTCAAAAAGGAGTACTTTTTCAGAAAAAAGTGATCTGCATATTTTCCGGAGAGGAAAGAATGTGCTTAGCTCTAAGAATAGTTTACTTATTAAAAGCAAAACATACAATATAAACAGTCAAACAGAACAAGTGGATTGCAATAAATATCCAGAAATCATCATCAATAGTTTCAATGTTGAGCATAAATTTATGTGTAAAACTTTACTGAAATTAATCCATAATCTTAAAAATATAACAGATTTAATGATAAGAACCTTAAAGATTAAACCCGTAAAGCTTAAATAGTGGATCCACCCCACCCAACCCTGGAAAAATTTCAAATGTTAATCACATTGAGAATCAGGAAAAGTTCCATGAAGAACATTATATCAATCAATTCATTACACCTCAAATTCGAAACTAGTTGAATTCACTTCACTCTTATTTTCAGATCATTTGATTTCGATATTGCTAAATAATTTGTCTTTTCAAGACAAAAGCAAATCTCCCACCCTACAAATAGCCAGGGGCGGCTCAACAAATCTCGTGGCCTAAGGCAAAATTATATTAAGAGGTCCTTAAATTTATTTTATAAAATTTATACATTAACAAGAAAATCTATTTTCTACACAATAGATTAATCATTTAAGACAAAAAATATCAATTTTTACACACACAAAAAAAAAAAAAAAAAGGAAGGAAAAGAGATTATGGTTTTTAGTAGGTGTGTCTTGGCTAGATTCCCCATATTTCAAGTGGAGAAATTCTCAAAAAAAAAAATAATAATGAAGAGGCACCAGAACTTGGCCTGTGAAAATTGCATACCTATAAAAGCAAAACCCTGTAATACTTATTCCAAAACTTTGACCATAAATAGCAAAAATTCTTACTTCAGAAACGTTATTTAGTCATCAAGTCAGTTACTTCTATTGCAGTTTACTTCTTTATTCTCCTAGCTTACTTTTCCAGATAACCTGGCAGCTAAAGGCTATGCAATTTCATAAATGGAAATTTAAGCAGGATTAACTTAACAGATTTTCACCCCTGAATTCAAAGTTAAAACAAATAGTTCGAAATGTAAGGCATTTTGGTGCAGTAGAGATCACTGCATATAAAGTGCAGTGAAATACCTCTTCTTCCTACATGAAATCTTACAAGGAAATAAAGTGCATGTGGGGCACAAAACAGGAGACAGATTAAAGCTTGTATAGCTTACTATTTTCCGTCTATTGATATAGGCATAGGCCAACACCTAGGCCACATGAGAAATGAGCAAAAGACAAATAAGAAAAAGGGATTAACCTCATGATGAAAACTAAAACTAACTTTTTAACTAAACAAGATTAGATACCTGCCATTTGAGCATGGTAAACATCAGTAATATCAAATTTTCAGCCTAAAAAAGGTGTGTAATATGAGGGAAGACACACACACAGAAAAATCAGATTACTTTCTGCAATGTATGTGAACCTACAAAGCCATAGGTTAGTAAATACTTTCAAATATGAAAATCAACAGATGCTGGGATAAAACTCAAAAAGATTAGTCAGAAAGCTTCAGCAGAAAGATGTAGTGGTCACTTTCCTATCATATGCCAATAAAGCAAACCAAACAGCATAAAAGGGCCTGTTTACCAAGGTTTCGACATACGAAAATCTATAAGAAATACCATGATATCCCTACGTGATGTCTACCATGTTGTGGCAGCCACTATACCTTTATATGTTGTCATGATCTTAGCCTATATCTCTGTAAGGTGGGGGAAACTCTTTTCACCAGAGCAATGCTCTGGAATCAACAAGTTTGTAGCGAAATTTTCAATACCTTTATTGTCCTTCCAAGTGATATCAGGAAGCAACCTCTACAAAGTAAACCTGAAGCTTCTATTAGCAGATTTCATTCAAAAATTTCTTGCTGTCTTTCTACTGGCAATTTTTGCCAAACTGAAGCCCAAAGGAAACCTGACTTGGATCATAACAGGTCTTTCAGTTTCCACCCTTCCAAACACCTTAATCTTGGGGATCCCGCTAATTAAGGCCATTTTTGGTGATGCGGCAGCAGAACTACTAGCGCAACTAATTGCACTACAGAGTTTAGTCTGGTACAACCTCCTCCTACTCCTGTTCGAGCTCAATGCAACAAAAGAATCTTATATGATGTCACCATCAGAAGTAGCAGGTACGTACACAGATAACAGAATAATGGTTCCTAAACGTAGAAAATCTATTTGGATGGCATCCATGTAGCAGAACCTATTTAAAGCTCTCCAATTTTAACTGTTAAGAACCAAAAAGCAATATATTGTAAATGTGATAAGTGAAAAAAGAATCCTATTCTGGGCCCCACAAATTCCAGATTAGCCTGTATCATATGATCTTTAGATAAACTAATATGTGATATCATGAAGCATGACAAAACTCTATTTAAGAAATGTTCCGTTTCCATTTTCAAAACTAGTCAGAATTCAAAACTAGAGGAATGAACCACAACTTGCTTCATCTCTTAAACTACATTGGTCAATC